TATATATATATATATATATATATATGTATATATATATATATATATATATGCACATATATATTAGGGATGCTACTAAGGATTATTTTGCAAATTGTTTGATATCTCGATTATTTCGATTTACAATCTGATAGCCAACGATTCTATAAAGAAGACTTTTTATGAAATTAAACGTAAAACTCAAACTTGTGGAGTTCTGAACAGAGCATATTGACAGAAGTAATTAAAAAAAAAAATTAAATTAAAATGTTTTTTTTTAAATATATATATATATATATAATCTTAGTTACTGCTCTAAGTGTGTTGCTCTGTCACATAAAGGCTAGTTTTAGAGATTCTATACTCCAGTTAACGATTATTCGATTACTGAGTTAGATGATGATTATTTAATTATTAATCTGATAAACTGTATTAAATAATCATTAAATAATACAGTATGGATCAATCATTAATCATCAATACTGTATTTATATATAAATCAATGATTAACATAAAAAAATATTACTTCTGTCAATATATCTGTTCAGAACTCCACAAGTTTAAGGTTTCACTTGGGTTAATTTCATAAACAATAATATGGCCATTAGTGTGCTTATTAATGCCCGATGGCATCTTCCACCTAAATATGTTTGATGTATTGGGGCCTATAGCGTTTTCTGAAATCCTGTGATGGAAAATCTACACTTTATTTCCTTCGATATGTACGTCATCTTGTTTTTTCTTAATAGTTGACCCAGTTATTTACAGAGAAAGTTTAGGCAAAATAAATTTTTCGCTGAAATGTTTTATTTAATCTAGTCACAAGACTCTAATAATCACAAAAAAATACAACACCTTCGGGAAAGCAAAAAAAAAAAAAAAACAATTTAGGAAACGACGAGAGATAAAGTAGTTTTGCCAAAAACTAACAGCAAACGCATAGGCTAGCTTAGCTACAGGCTAATAGCTGCTTCCCTTTCTGAAGCAGCTCAATCGGAAGTTTCCCTTCGCCACAATTCATAAGAAGGTTGGGCTTTCGTTTCTGGTCTTAAAGGGATGTTACGTGTAACTTACTTCTACTGATGAGCCTCCTTCAATTTGGACGTTAATTTTTAACAGTATTTATGCTGACAAAATATTGTTTTCACTTGCTAGTTGGCTATCATCCGAAGCGTCCTTGCAACTTTCGCCATCCAATCGAGGGGTGGCGCTGTGGTGCTAAAATAAAAACCAGAAGAAGAAACTCTCTTCTTCTGCTTTTCCACATTTAGGGGGAATGTTTGTTTTGATTCGACACGTTTTAACTTTTAATTGCTATATCTATCTCTGAGAATGTTTCACATTAAATGTATCCGGGTTTTATCTTCCCTCCGGACGGCACGCAGCCTCCTGTCGGAGCGACATTTCTCTTTTAAAGGTGTTACATATCCTCAGCTCTGCATGTCAACATGCCTTCACAGGGACACTTTGCACAGGGATATGAACATTGCAGGTCTCGTAACCCGCACCAATGAGGTATTTTTATCGAGGGGTTGTTCAACAAGCCAAGTTAAACATAACTGCTGGAATTGTAAGCAACTTCTTGACAGAACTCCTTCATTTTTTTGCAATTCGTGCAAAACAATCCAACCCCCTGAGGAGGGGACGTCGTTTTTCAAGATCATGGACTGGTCGGTGTCATTTAAATCATTGTGTCCTTCTGTTTCTATCCCTATAAATCCGTAAGCAACTTTATTTTTATTTTTTTTATAGTGATTATACATTCACACTGGACACACAAAAGCTCCAGACGAGATACTTGCAGCTTCAGCGGACTCTGCATCCTGACAACTTCAGCCAGAGATCTGAGGTAGGTGGATGATCTTCAAGCTCTGAGTGAAACGGTTCATGAGTCAGAGAGGAGCTTTTCTAACTGTTAGTCACGCAGCTGTGGCTCAGAGCAGCTCTCCTCATCCTTTGTGACTGGAGGTTTTTCTTGCACCAATGAATGTGAAATAGATTAGCCAATAACTAATATTAAAATACCTTAAGTTGCACAATCCCATCAATAAATAATGTTAAATATTTACATGGTAATATTAAAGAAAATGTAATAAATACCTTAATAAATATTAAATAAAATGATTATATGATAAAATAAACGTGTCAAGCATTTATTGCAGATATCTTCAACAGGGGGTCTTAAAAGTTTTTTTTTTATATTCCTCAATGCAATTTTTTCCACTGATTGAAATGTCTTGAAATACACATTAACATGAATTCAAAATATTGTAGTGATCAGATAAATGGAGGCAGATGTCTTTCAGTCATCAATGCACACATTCAGCGACACACAGGCGCTCTTTCAAGCTGGGTACCGTTTCATTCACAACACCTGTCCCATCAACAAGAAATCAGAATCAGAAGTACTTTGATAATCCCAGGGAGAAATTACTTTCATTACATGACTCCATATTATATAATGGAGTGACTAAAGGACCAGTTTGATATAACACAATTTCATACAATATATATAAAATTAGGGGTCCCCGCTCCATCTCACCATAAATTTGTGGGTCCTTGGCCTGGAAAACGTTGAAGACCCCTGATTTATTGGTTACAAATAAAACAGTTTATATAAGCATGTCATTATTTGTTTAATGGTTTGATATTTCTTGTGCTGCAGTCTGTCATAAAACAATTTAAAGTTCAATTATAACTACATAAACCTAGTGTGGGAGGAGATTACCTCGGAAATGGAAAGCAAAACTTTTGACCGTGAACAGAGGTCAGATGATGCCGTGTCAAAACAATTCAGTCTTTCTATGATGTCATCAACCACTGGCAATATGAATAAGCACTAACCGTGCAAGGCTGGACATTTTTATTTGCATAGCACAGTTTAGTAGCAAGAAAATTCATGTGGCGTGCATAGACAAATGAGGGTAGACCTGAGGGATATTGGCAGTTGAGACGTTGACAAAATTCAGTTATTTATTTTGATGCTTTGCTTTTAGGTGATTAGGTGACGGACGCTCACAATGAGCTTGGTTCAGCTGGGAGTTTCTTCCTGTTAAAAGGGAGTTTTTCCTCTCCACTGTCGCCACAAGCATGCTTGGTGGGAGGGATTGCTTTCACGTCAATAAGTCGATGCAATCATCTGGTTTTCCTTCGATAGAAAACTTTTAATCAATTTGACTGTATGATCTGGTTGAACTGTCTCTGTGAAGTGAGTTGAGATAAGCGTTGTTGAAAACGGATGGATGGATGGATGGATGGGTGTGTGTGTGTGTGTGTGTGTGTGTGTGTGTGTGTGTGTGTGTGTGTGTGTGTGTGGTGAATTGGCTCCATACAGATAAACTGAATTGAATATACTGACAGGAGTATTTTGAAATAGGGCTGGGGAATATTGCTGAGAAATAAAATCTCAGATTTTTTACATTTTTTTGTCATCTTGGACGATTTATTCGATTTTAATAAAATATTTAGGAAACAATAAACATATTGTAAAAAATGTAAACTTAAGTATTCATAACATAAAACACAAATGTTCACAAATGTTCATGTCTGTAGTATTTGCAAAAAAATAAAGTAGAGTCCAATTTACCACAGAGCGCTTGTCCTGTTTCATTGTACAGTTTTGGTAGTGCAACCTCTGCAAAGTATTTGCGATTCGGCGGGTCACGTTTTGGATCACACACTTTTAGCATGTGAAGGAAGCCAGGCTTCTCTACAGTGTAAAATGGGCACCATGTCCATCACTATATGAACAGCTAGAGTGTCGGTCATCTGCTTCCGCCACACACTACAACTAACTCAAACTGCTCCCCAGGCGCCTCATAATGACAGCCCACCGCTACCCAAGGGGATGAGTTAAATAGAGAGGTAGATTTCTCCAATTTGAGATCAATAAAGTGCAATAATGTATTATTATTATTATCCACTTCCCGAAAGCTGACTCTGTCAAGTAAATTCAGAGAGAGAGTAGTAGTACCATAGATCGTCACTAGGAGGCGAGGAACCATGCTATCGTGACGTGTAAACGGTTGTAAGGAACCGAGCTCGGCACTGTTAACTGATCCAAGCTCGGTCTGACCTTGATACAGATCTGTTTTAGATGGTATTGTAAATGGGGCTATTGACTTTGGATTTGGATCTCCTGGATGAGCACGCAGTGACAATAGACATCTGCTTTCTTTGAGTCGCTTAAAACAATTGGGGTTGAGGGATTTTTCTGAAAATCTAAATTGTGACTATTTTTTACTAATACTACGAATATTGCGAATGCGAATTGCGAAGTTGGACTAACAATTACATTAGAATTGGAGAGTAGAAAAGGAATAAAGCAGAATGATGAAAAATGGTCCTTATATCCTCCTGCAGTCTAAGTCTATAGCAGCATAACTATGGAGAGATCTCATGATAACGTGAGCCACTCTATTACTAGTACTAGTTTTAAGCCTGTTTTTTATTTTCATTTTTTTTTTTACATGTTTTTATTGTTTCTACTGGCAGCTACTACTATGCACTAAACATTTTTTAGTCCATGACAAATTTTCCCCTAGGGGACAATAAAATCTGTTCTATTCTATTATACAGTATTCTCCCAGTAGCACTGAGCTGCATTTTCCATATTATGAACTGCATGGTAGCTCAGCTCCAATCTCATTGGCTATTCCTATTTAGTAGTTCTGTCTTCTGACTTTGGATGCTTAGGCTTATTGGCAAAATAAATACCTGATGTGCTGCTATACAGGACTCTAAAAGTAATCACATAGAATAAATGCATAATTAAGTAAAGGCTAGTTATATAAAAAAACATTAAAAAAAATTACATTTAGATATAGATTTTCATGTAAAAAGTTCCAAAATATGACATGAAAAGCCAATCATAAACAAGAGAAGAATGAGCTCCACCGAATTTTACTTTATTTTATCACTTTTGTTAGAACTGCTGTTAAGAGTAACTCTGTGGATATAGCTGGCTCACTTGAATAATTTAGGGGGCAAAATATTGGCTCACATTATTCAAAAGAGCTGTAAAAGCTGGAAGGTCTGCTTGGTCAAGTGAAGAACAGAGACTGGGCAGGAAAAGACAGTATTATTAAAACTAGAGCATATCCACTGCTTAAAAGACTCTTCTAAGAAAAGAGGTTTCTCTTCTGAGAAGGGTTTAAGCTCAAGTGGGCATCATTTGAAAAGGGCACGATTTGAAGCTATACTATCAGGAAGAACCACAAAGCAAAGCTCACATCTGTTTAAATGATTTGCAGAAGTGTAGGCATAAACATTGTAAGGGTTTAAGCAGTGTGGTTATATGTTAAAAAACTACACCTACCTTTAAGCTTTTTACATTTTTTCATGTTACAGACAGTACAGTTCACTTTTTATATTTAGCGCCAATTCATAAGAGATGTCAATGCATTTTACAAAAAACGACTCTTCAATTTAAATACAGAAATGCATCTTTTCATTCCAATCCAATCATACAGACTGGTTAGTCGGTGACTCACATTCAGCTAATATGTTCCTTGTTATTAAAAATGCTGTTCACTTTAATAATCAAATCAATGAACAACTTTCCACTTAAAAAAACTTTGTGCTTTCTAAAACAGACAGTAGACTCAAAACCTGTATGTATATTTCATAATACAGGTAAAAAAAAAGTTTTTTTTTTACAAATATAACTGTCCATATAAACCTACAAGCCAGGCAAGGTAAGTATTCATCCAAGAAGCAACCAAAAGACAAATGGCCTGGTAGCTTCACAAGAGCTACAGAGATGAACACTTTAGGTGGGAGAAACCATTAATATCCAGTGAGTAGACAGCCTCTCCACAAAGCTGTCCTTTATTAAAGCATGGAAAGACGAACTTATCTCTATGGTTAAACTCAGTCAACTTCTCTAGCTCCTTCTGGCAATCAAAATAATCCTTAAACCTTGAGATTCCAGCTTAACTACATACATTCCAAATTGATTTTAGTTGTTAGTTTATTAATCAAGCTACTTGACTATGCTTTATAATTAAAAACACAAATGATTGCAGTAATTCTAATTTCAGCATTCACTCTTTTAGAATGAGCATGTAGCACCTTCATTGAATCGTTGACTTTGCAGCAATCCTCCTTAACAAACATGCATGTTGCAACAGTGGAGAGTAAAGCTCCTCTCTAACAGAATGAAACCTCCCATAAAGCCAATACTAAGCTCTATGTAAATGGCTATCTGCCAC